AAATATATTATTTTATTTACTTTAATCCATTAAACTGTCTGTTTGATTTCCTTTTTCAACTTTCCATCTTTAATTCGTTTTAGCTCTAAACATCTCCAATTTTTCATCAATTTAATCCTACAAAAAAAATACACAATTTAGCACAATCCATAAAATTTATGCTCATAAAGGACAAATATAAATACTAAATGTGAGGCAAATAATGATTAAAAATATGTATTTTGACCTCACATCAGTTACCATACTGGAAGGGCTTGAAATTGCGGCATAATTTAGATGTTATGCACATAGAAAAAAATATTTGTGAGAGTATTTTGGGGACACTATTGGATATTGATGGGAAAACTAAGGACACATATAAAGCAAGACTAGATCTTAAGGATATGAACATAAGAAAAGAACTATGGTTGCAACAGGATGGTTCTAGTCATAAAATGCCAGTTGCTTGTTATAGTATGTCAAAAAAAAAAAAAAAATTTGGGCATTTTTAAAATCGGTTAAGTATCATGATGGTTATGCTGCAAATATCTCAGGGTGTGTAAGTGTAGATGATGGTAAGATCACTAAACTCAAAACTCATGACTATCATATTTTGTTACAACGAGTGCTGCCAATTGCTCTTCGTGGATTTGTAAATAAGGATGTCTCTTTAGCATTAATTGAGTTAGGCCATTTCTTTCAACGATTATGTTGTAAGACACTAAGAAGAGATGACTTAGAACAACTTGAAAGGGATATAATTATTATATTATGTAAGCTTGAGATGATCTTTCCACCTGCTTTTTTTGATGTTATGATACATTTGGCTGTGCATTTGCCACGAGAGGCCATGTATGGGGGACCTGTACAATATCGTTGGATGTACAAAATTGAGAGGTTTTTGTGCAAGCTTAAGCGTTATGTACGAAATAAGGCACGACCAGAAGGTTCTATTGCAGAAGGGTATATTATTGATGAGTGTTTGACATTTTGCTCTATGTACCTTACTGACATTGAGACAAGATTTAATCGTGAAGATCGGAATGATGATGGATTTAGCAACAATTGTGAACTTGTTCTAGACATATTTTCAAAGAGATTTAGGCCATATAGAGATGGAAAATATGATGTCATACCAAACAAAGATTTTGATATAGCTCGGTGGTATGTGTTGAATAATTGCGAAGAAGCAGAACCTTTTCTTCGGTAAGTATTTTTTCTATTTTATATATTTATGTTGACATTTTATTATTTTAATTATTTCTATATAATTTTTATTATATGCAGGGAGCATAAAGAAGAGTTGTTGAACCAAGCTGTTGTGAATATAGATGAGAAACACAAAGAACAATTTCCTTTATGGTTCAAAAGAAAAGTAAGTGATTTTCAGATAATAATCATGTTGTTGTGTTTAATTTTTTCTTCTTCTTTACTAATTGAACGCAATAAGTTTTTCTCATAGATTATGCAGTTATATACTAAAGAAAAGTCAACATCTATCAAGAAATTATATCCTTTAGCAATGGGACCTGGTGTGAGTGGAAGAACACATACTGGTTGTATTGTAAATGGTGTTAGGTATCATATTCAACGACACGATGAATAACGTAAAAGTCAAAATTGTGGTATAGTTGTTGTAGGCTATCATGAAAATGAGGTGATTGACTTTTATGGTATTATAATTGACATCCTTCAGTTAGAGTATGTTGAGGAAAATCGATTTCTCTTATTCAAATGCAAGTGGTTTGATCTCCGCAAGAAAACAGGGATGCAAAAAGATAAAAATTTTACGAGCATTTGTGTTAAAAGATTTTGGTATGAACGTGATTCTTTTGTACTAGCTACTCAAGCAAAGCAAGTATTTTACATTGATGACCCAAAATTGGGAGAGAATTGGCTAATTGTGCTCAAATTTCAAGATAGACACTTATATGATGTGCCTGAGAAAGAAACTTTGGAGAGTGAAAGTGATGTGTTACATATTACAAATGAGGAAGTGTATCAAGACATGTTATTGGAAAGTAATTCAATTGTCTGTGATACAGTGGATATGTTGAGTCAACTACATAGAGATGATGTTGATTCAGTTATCTTGGATGCAAATGTAATTGAATTAGAGGCTCAAAAAGAACATGATGTTCATTATAATGAAGAAAATTCTGACCAGGAGGGTGAAACTATGATAGAGTACATCAGTGATCATGAGGAGAATAGAGGTAATACTGGTACTGATGACAATGAAGCTGATACAACAAGTGATGGTGATGATATTGGCTTGTGAAACCTCATAATAGTAAGGCAATTACATGTTAATAGCTCTTCTGCATTATGTATATCATATTTGAAAACTGTCAAAGTAGCGGTCTTATCACTACAATGAAATGAAAATCACTTTTAGTGAAAATTATTTGTCGGTACTTAAAGGTAATAGACAGTAAAGGTCAAGTAGCTTATCAAGTACTTAAAATTTATTATTTTTATCTTTCCTTCATAATTTATTTCGCTCCCTACTTTTATTTTATGCATTCAAAGGATAATTCCTTTTTTCCTCAAATCAGTTTGTTTACTTTAGAGACGCCCCCCCCCCCCCCCCTCTAACCCACTAACCGCTTCTGTTTTTTATATTTTCGTGTAGGGATCCATATCTTCAGACTAAATGTATATGAAGGGGATGAAATTGCAGGTTTGCCTCTCTTTTTGTAGCTACTTATCTCTAATATAGTGAATCAGCTAACAATTCTAGTGTTATTACCTTGTTTAAAATGGTTTTACTGTGTTTAGCGTTTAGTTTCGGGGCATCCTCATGGATGAACATGTTTTTTTTTTCTGCATGCATTGCCTCTGATTATCAACTTCTTTTTACAAATTGCATATGTTATTATATGCTTTATGTTGAAATCTTTATATCGCCTCTTGGATTTCAATTACTCATTTGGAGTTTTATCATTTTTTTTTTGTTGATATCATTATATTACTAATATCTTAGTTATAGTGTTGTTTTTACCTAAACTTGTTCTGAAGTGATTCAATATAATTGAGATTATTTTTGAAATTTCATGTGGTTTGAAAATATTAACTAAGTTATGTCAATTATGGTAGTCTTGACCCTCTGGAGTTGAATCAAAAACTACTTCTCAGTGATATTTTTTGTAGAAATTCAGTCATATATATATATATATATATATTTTGACTATATATGATTAAATCTCAAACTAGCTATTTAAATCAGTATACATAGTTATTTACATAGCCTAATCTTAATGTCTAGCTCAATTGATTAAAATAGGAGTTCTTGGAATAGGAGTTGATTTCCATTGGTAGCTCTAACATTGCAAACTAGTTCCCCGACTGTACTCTCTACATACCTGCTCCTCTTTTCGAAGATCCTCAAGTTCCTCTCTATCCAAATGGCATTAATTGCTTCAGTGAAAACCATTCTAAAAGCTTGACAGTGTGTGATCTCCCTTTTCAATTATGAGTTGCCCAATCTAAATGTAGTTCCCAGGCTTTGGAAGTAACCATTGGTCTTCTAATCCATTGCATGAGTCTTGATGATATGTTAAGATTATAACTGCATGAGAAGAATAAATGGTCTCTGCTTTCACCGATGATTCTATAAAGGCCGCACTGTGGCTCCACGTTTATTCTCCATTTGATCAATCTGTCAGCTGTTAGCATCATCCCATGAAAGTGTAACCACGTGGTAACTTAGCTTTTGGCTTTGCATCATTCTGGAACATCATGCATTTCCACCTAACTGTTCCAGTTATGCTCAGTAGTTGAAAATAGATTAGACCAATCATGTTTATGCCTTGTCTTCTGGCTACTGGGCCATCTTTGAGTATCTATCTGGTACCAATAATTTTTTTGACCATCTCAATTGCCTATTGAGGGATGGGCATTGTGAGGCTAACTTGATGTTTGATATATTATAACTGAACCCATCTAATCTTAGTCGATCATGCTTGTTGGCATAGTCCCAACATTTTTGTAGCAATTGCACCCTTATTCCACAATGTTAGGCTAGTAAGATTGAGTGAACCACACACCTTAGGTTATCATACCCTTCTCCCCAAGCCACTAAAGCTTTGGTCATCTTATTTGTCTCTGACACACATAGCTCCTACAATAGGCATCAACAACTTTTCATAATGCTTGTTGGTAGGATATAGAGATGCGCCCAATGACTTCAGTACATAGGTCTGTTTCCTACTCTTAGATTAAGTGTAGGTTTCCTTCTCATTAACAATTTGTCTATTACTGGTAATACAACGTATACGAAACCCACAAGACTCATGTAGAAATCTATTATTTCTCTTTGTATGTCTCCAGGTGTGGTGAGCTTTGTTCCTGATAGTGACCTACGTTCAGATATTTGTTTTCTCTAGGTCCTTTACTTCATAACAACAGAGAAATAATTGGTCTTGGAATCTCCAAAGCTTAATTCAGCTTGCTGTAGATTTTTACTTCAATATGTTCTGACCACTTCTCTAGATTCTGGAGGAGGGTCTTTTCTACATTGATCATCCCATCACTACATTGCCTAGTCAGTTGTGCTTGGATTACCTTTATTTCTGTCCTAGCATTGTCAATTTGTTGCCTCACATTCCTATCCTCCTATGAAAGTGAAACCACGTGGTAACTTAGATTTTGTCTTTGCATCATTCTATAACATCATGCATTTCCACTTTACCGTTTTAGTTATGTTCAGTAGTTGAAAATAGATTAGACCAATAATGCTTATGCCTCGTCTTCTGGCTACTGGGCCATCTTTGAGTATCTTTCCGGTACCAATAATTTATTTGACCATCTCAATTGCCTACTTAGGGATGGGCATTGTGAGGATAACTTGATTTTTGATATAGTATGAGTAAACCCATCTAATCTTAGTCGACCATGCTTGTTGGCATAGTCCCAACACTTTGTAGCAATGCACCCTTATTCCACAATGTTAGGCTAGTAAGATTCAGTAAACCACACTAATCTAGTAATTGGGCTGTCTAATTCTTGGGCCTCTTTGTGGTTTGGCCCCCGGCCCAACAGCTTGGCCAACCTCTGGACCATACGCGTTCATAACAATATTCCACGCCCCAAAAAGAACCTTGTCCTCAAGGTTCGAGTAATGCATAAATTGTAGTAGTATCTGCTCAGTATTGTTAATAGCAAGTAAGGAATTCATAGCAACTTCTTCGCATCTATTTTCAGTAATAATAATATAGAAATGAGAATCATCATCTTCCACCGATAAGAGCAATATAGATATATGTAAATTTGCACCCAGAATAATTTGCACCCGACGTGATTGACCAAGCCTATCCATAACGATCACATAGTATGCATTTTCATCTTCATACTTAGACTCTTCTATTAAGTTGAGATACTGTAGTCCATTTTCAAGCTCTAAGAGATATGCTTCCACCTTTTTCTTCCATGCTTCAATATTAGTAGTAGATAAACTAGGTTGATGCCATTTTAGTATGGCTGAACTAGGAATTTCCAACCAGAAACAAATTAGCATTAACTTATTGCATATCATGTACATGTCGCAAGTGATCTTGTCTACATACTGGATGATGTACATCAGCCAACACATCACTATAATTAGATAAGCATTTCCAAAGTAGCACCTAGAATCCAATAAAACCATTTGTACCTCAAAAGGAACTAACAACGTGTTTACAAGATTGACGAAGTTGTTTAAAGATACATCAGTGTTAACTTGCTCATTATTGTTATGCATTAGATACAGATGACAACCTTTTCCTTTTTCAGTTAATAAGGCTGAAACAACTTCATTTGAATCATATTGCCCAGTATCGAACCACTTACACAGGTGCAAGTAATTTTTCAATTTCTTAGATATTGTTTGACCCTTAAAATCAACCAATGACTTCAGTACATAGGTCAGTTTCCTACAATAGGCATCAACAACTTTCATAATGCTTGTTGGTAGGATATAGAGATGCACCCAATGACTTCAATACAAAGGTCAGTTTCCTACTCTTAGATTAAGTGTAGGTTTCCTTCTCATAACCAATTTTTCTATTACTGGTAATACAATGTATACTGAAACCACAAGACTCATGTAGAAATCTATAATTACTCTTTGTATTTCTCCAGGTGTGGTGAGATTTGTTCTTGATAACGACCTACTTTCAGATATTTGTTTTCTCTAGGTCCTTTCCTTAATAACTACAGAGAAAATACTTGGTGTTGGAATCTCCAAGCTTAATTCATCTTGCTGTAGATTTTTACTTCAATATGTTCTGACCACTTCTCTAGATTCTGGAGGAGGAGATCTTTTCTGCATTGATCATCACATCACTACATTGCCTAGTCAGTTGTGATTGGATTACCTTCAATTATGTTCTAGCATTGTCATTTGGTTGCCTCACATTCCTTAATTCTATGTTATTCAATCTTTTGAGTAGTGACTTGAGTTCTCTCAGCTTAAGTCATACATTCTTTATACTCCATTGGTCTCTTTGTTGTCTCTACAAATAATTGACTATAGGGAAAAGTTATTCATGATCAACTTAAACATTGAACAATCTGAACAGTCTTGTAAATCTGGGGTGCTACAAGTAATTTAAGAACCATGGGGTGGTGGTGATGAGAGATCATTGGAAATTTAGTCCTCCTTAGCAATGAGTGAGCTCATTAGTAATTTTTTATTGATTTTAATACCGAATTGTTAATTGAGTTATGCTTATATGAAACAAACAAGACTGATTATTGTTACCATTTCTGAAAGGGTGTTTATTTCATTATATTTTATTATTATTATAAAAATCTGTAGTTAATTGTTATTACTAATTGAGCTAGCAACTCACTCTCTGCTATATTTTATTACAGAGATCACAAGTGACGTCGATGATGCTTTCTTTAGCTAGAGTGCACGAGTTGACAAATTTTTGGTTAGCGGAAATTGCTTTGTGCGGGCAAGAAGATATTTATTTGATATAGTTCTTTTCTATTTAACTCTTAAAGTCGCTTCATTAGTCAATTCACTATTGTCATATGTATTCTTTTGTCATTATCGACTTGTGACTAGTATTAGACTTCTTTTCGTATTTTGAGATGAATTTAGTATTATTATATTTTGAATAGAATGTTGATGATTATTATGACTTGTTTTTGGCGATATTGGTCGGATATGTTATTGATTTTTAAGACAGGAATATTTTTAGACAAGCCCAAAAACAGGGGAAACTCTGCCCAATTTTATATAAATTATTGTTAAGGCTTGCTTTGAATCCTACTCCTTTGTATCGGTTACGGTTCTAAATTTGATAGTCACACAAGTAACTTAGCTAGTGAATGCATATCACTATGGACACAAGAAGATCATTCGCAACTAGTAATCTTATTGAAATTATTAAAGTTTCTTCTAATTTAATTAGATATTACGATAATGTAATTCCGCTTAAACATATTAGAATGATTGAACTGAATGTTGTGTTTAAATTTAGTTTGTAAGGTTAATGATACTACTTTATAATGATATACTTGTGTT